TTTGAGCTGCCCAAAACTGGCTTCGCAGATTTTGTGAGCTGCCCAGAATCGGTTTCGCAAATTTTGTGAGCCGTCCCAAATCGGCCACGCACATTTAATGTGAGCTGCCAAAATCGCTTCGCAAAGAGCGTGAACTTGCGCGAATTGGCTGACCCCACGATCCTTGCGACTGTAGACATGTTTCCAACTCCAGGATCCGAGGGTCTAAAAGATGAGCCACAAATGCTGCCAGGACCAGAGGGGATGGAGGAAATCTTGCACCATCTTGTATACCCAAAAAATTGGGCATTACGACATTCTGAGACTTTTAAGTGATGCAAGATCTGGAACCATAGCATCAGCGAACTACAAGCTGACAGGACCAGAGGGCCACAAGAGCGGAGGAGCAGAGGACCGGAGCTCCAGAGGACCACATGACCAGAGGACCATACTGGTAGGACCAAACTGCCTGGGTCCTGGGAAGGGGCGTCTACACTCGCTCTTCGCAGCTCACTTAGCAAGCTGTTGACGCATGTTAAAGTTTCTGACGCTTAAGAGATTTTGTTTGATGCCTATGCCCGCTTCGCAAGTGCGTGATGACCTGGTGATGGGAACAACCCGACCACGGGAACAAAGACCAGATTGGAGTGCTTCAAATGCTGCAAATTACACCATTTTCTGGTCTTGGAAAGCTTCAAATGCTGCAAATTACACCATTTTCTGGTCTTGGAAAGCTTCAAACGCCGCAAATAACAGCATTTGATAGACTTGGAACGCTCAACGCTGTAAATTACAGCGTTTGCTAGACTTGGAACGGTCCAAAAGCTGTAAATTATAGCATCTGCTTGTTTTGGAACGCTTCAAACGGTGTAAATTATAGTGTCTGCTGGTCTTGGGATGCTTCAAATGCTGTAAGTGACAGCGTCTGCTGATCTTGGAAAGATTTACCTGCTTTAATTTACAACATATGCTGGTCTTGCAATCTAAATCTACTACTACTACTACTACTACTACTACTGCTGCTATCAGCGATTTGTTTGCTTGCTTGCTCAGTGGTGGCTCTCTCGTGAGTTTGCTTGCTTGCTTGCTTGCTTGCTTACGCTCGCCTGCGCTTGCTTCCTTGCTTGCTTGCTTGCCTGCTTGCTTGCTTGCTTGCTTGCTTGCACGCGCTCTTCTTGGCTTTTCTTGCTTGCTTGCTTGCTTGCTCGCTTGGTTGCTGCCCGCTTGCTTACTTGCTTGCTTGCTGGTTTGCTTGCTCTTACTTAGCTAAAGCAAGAGGGTCCGGAAAAACATACCCACAAAAAACGTTAAAAAATACGGAAAATCCGCCACCATGATTCAACCATGATGCGAAAAGGAGCTGCATCCAGACATGAGCCCATGCCGTGCGGCGGGATGATAGCATGAACTGCGCCCCTTTACTACATCAGACTCCGGCAGCATCTGCATAGTTCAAATCTAAGGAAGACTCCCGCTCCCTGCTTGGGCGGATAAGGAGCTGGGCCCCTCAAGACTTTAGGATTAAAAGGGCAGGCCTGAACATGCACAACGCCTCTGCCCCAAGTCAGACTTTGCAAGTCCAGTCGCGTGCGTTACCAGCAGAGGCGGCACAGAGCGCACGGAGACGAAATTACCATCAAAGGCTAAGCCAAAAAAAATCGTAAAGGCACCGGCTACAAGATCAAGTGCCGCAGAGAGAGACGTCGATGGGACGGCTTGACCTACCCGAGCGGATGCAAACAAGAGTAGGACGGAAACTGCAAGCACAACACCGTGCAATGTCCACCGACCCCATCATCATGTCCAGCGTGGTCTATGTTGCCAGGGTTCGCAAGGCATTCGACAAAAATACCATGGACATGTTCTTTTCAGTGCGTCGTGATGCCGAGCCTGCGCTGGCTGCGCTCAGCAAAGGTGTGTTGCACGTTGACGGCAAGTTTGAGTGATGGCCTGCTTGACTGCAGCTGCGCTGGTCTCGCGGGTCATGTTCCCTCGTCCCCATGGCGCTCTGCGGTGGGGCTGCGTGTAGTCCAGTAGTGTTAAATATGCCCTTGTGAGACGCAGGACGGTGCGTTGCAGGGTCACGCTCAGAAACTGGGGAGCTTGCCCTGAGCCCCTGCACGCGCGGAAATGAGGGGACGCGAGAGCACCACCTTTCTGGCTTCAGCATCCCAGCCACCGCCTGCAGCTTCAGCAAGAAGTGGCCCATGCATCAGAATGACTTGTGTAGCAAATATGCACTGGAGTTGTTTGGCTGCTTGTGGTCCCCGGGCGCAGAAGCTTAGAAGCTCTGAGTAGTGTAACAAGGACGTACTGATGAAGCTTAGAAGTCACATTTAAAGACGTGAGGCATTCTTTCAGGCCGGTCGAACTTTCTTCTTCCTGTGCTATGTTTCTGGAAGCCATGGGCGATGCAGTGAGCAGGTCAGGATGCAGCGTGAGGAGCGGGCGTGGAAGCTGCGTCCTTGTCCAAAACGGCATGCCCGGTTTTGCAGCATGACGCGCTAGCCGCGTGTTAGCTGCGTTGATGGTTCTGGATATGGAGCGAATGGAGCGAGGGTCAGAATCCTCGAGCGACTTGAGTCTCTAGTAAGTGGCAATCTAGAAATCATAACCCTTACAAGGTTGCTGACCATGACCTATTCGCCCAGGACTTCCCTTGCTTGATGCGTACTCCTTCAGGTGGAAGGGAGGGGGCATTTTTTTTGGGCATTCCCTGGCCTTGACTTGAATTCTTGGAACATGTTGGAACTGCTCGGAGCTCAATGGAGGTCATCGGGTTGGACATGAACCAGGAGACCGTACGTGGCCTACAGCACAAGATGCTGACGACTTGGAATCAGACTGGGAGGGGAGCAGCAGGACTGCTTTGGAGATTGGCAGTGTGACCATCAGTGATTTGGAGAAGGGAGCAGATAGTAACATGAGCTCAACGGACGGAGGTATTCATACCGGCGATGACTGTGGGGTACAGCGAATCATTTCTGGAGCTGTTTCTGGCGCGAGCCATCCAGTGGAGAAGAAGGTGGGCGGACCGCGCAACCGACTTTGCCTCAAGTGGATCGCTGCGACAATGCCAACAGTAAAGCAGCAAAATCACGTTGCGAAGATGTGCGGACCCGTTTGCCCTCAGAAATGTGACGCCACCCATGATGTAAAAACTTTCAAGGCTAGATCAGCAGGATTTTCAAAGGCTGGTGATGTACCTGTCGGGCGCTCGGGGGGACATATGCTGCTGACATCTGCTGACCCTGCGCACGCCTCCTTGTGTTCTGTTCTTCTTTCCGTTAGTGGCTTTGCCCTCCGATGAACTCTGCGTTCGGGCATACTCCCCCCCTCCGTGGGCATCAAAGGAAAATGGCCATGTGCCGGAGCATACATGGACAGGTGTTCCGATAACTCATCCATTGGACGCGAAATTTTCTAGTGGACATTGAAACTACCGTGGCCCTGTCTAACCGAATCAGTTTGCAAAGGGCGGGACAAGGGCACTCTGGGGCCAGTGGGATGAGAATTGTTCATGATTACAATGTAATGTCTTCTTGGTCACAACTGACTTTTTGTGCTGGCTGATACTCAATTTTGTTGATAGTCGTCCCCTCACAAGGATATCTGGACAACATTGGGAGAACCAAGGCTTTTCCATGGACCTTGGTCTTGTCTTGTTACGAAACATTAGTTTCCAAGGATCAGCTTAGAAATATGAACCCGGAACCTCTGGTTTTTGTTGATATTAAGACTTAAAGGTGGTGTACCTGGGTAGTGCAGGAAGAAACGTGGGCCAATTGGGGGGTACTGTATGCCCCATAGATTTTGCATATAATATATATATATATGTACACATATGTGTATATGATCACTGCACAACCTAATCTGCCTCTTTGGCGTCGGCCTTGGCCTCAGAAAGGCCAAGAGCTGGAAATGTGATGAATGCGGCGTATGCGACGAGATGAGCCAGCCTTTGTCTTCGATTTTGTGTCTCTTTCAACCTCCTCAGCCAGATCGACAAGCAAAATTGATAAAAACAGACTTAAGGTCTCGGGCTGCTGCAATGAGCTGCGAGGGCAGGTTCTGCACCTTCTGCTCATTCTTCTGCTCATTCTTCTGCTCATTTTTCTCTTCATTCTGGTTGTTCTTCTGGTCATTCTGCAGCTTCGTGTCCTCCAAGAGACCCTTTGATTCTATGCAAAGATCTTAGAAGCCCGTAACTCTCGCCCTTCCCAGGACATCACAAGATCTTCTGAAAGGCCCGGGCTTTCCAGGCGCGAGGTCAGAAAGCGAAAAAGCTGGAGGTATCAATAGAAGGAGCCTTTCTGATGCACCACAAGCATTGGACATGGTGGACCTTGCAGCCAAGCACTGCAAGCACCTCAAAAGCATCCCCCGGAACCAGGCCAGACTCTACTGCGCGTCTTGCTGCGCGCTTTTTTTGTGTTCGCGTTGCTGCGCCTTTTTTCGAGTGTTTACGTGTCGGGCAGATGGCCACCAGCCTTTTCATCATATCCTCACCTCTTGCTTCTTAATGTTAGATGGAGTCTGGACGCGTGGCAATTTCCCTTCGTTTGTTTGGCTCCCGTTCACATCCAGACGAATGTCCAGACAAACATTGAGGCATGGCGGCTTCACTGAATTTGCAGGAGACAAGCCCACAGTGTGCGCCACAGCATTCTAGAATACCGGCGCACTGCCCGGAAGCGTCTGACATCTTCTGACTTCAGAACATGTCGTGCAAGGCAAGATCACTGACCCACTGAACTTCAAAGTCTCCTCGGGCAAGACCTCGGGCGCCTTGAGCTCCTTGCTGCGCACCTGTGAAAAAAAACAACAACAACATCCAGGAACGACGGAAGAGGATGGAATCTGATGGCGGCTAAGGGCTAAACATATTGAGGTCGGCTGAGAGCCAGAGGTGCATCCTTGCAGCCTGGTGGCACGCCATCGCCCTGGAAAGAAGAGAGAACACGAAGCTCGAAACGGAAAGAAGGAAAAAGAAGAGACGCAAATTGCGACGGCCATCCAGCCTCGCTGGAGTCGTTGGAGTCCTCCAGCGAGTCACGAGAAGAGATTTGCAGGTGAGACACGTTCAGTGACCCACGCTCTGTGCTGTGACGCAACCGATTGTTGACTTTTGAGGAGAACCGTTCCCCGTGGCAGAAAGCGTCAGGGCTTCACCGGGGTTTTCCCTGTCTCTTGGGGCTGCGGCTCCACAAGTGAGGTTCCCGAAGCAGTCAAGGACATAGGTGCCCGGGAAGTGCACCCGGTAAGAATCCAAGGCAAATGGCAGCTGCACCTCTGATGCTATGATCTAACTCTTCACTCATGCTTACCTAATCTAGTCTCACAGAAGGCCTTAACAGGCGCTCCGCGTGCCACGCGACCATTCTGCACCTCCCAAAAGACCTCCGTCTCCGCTACAAATCTCTCACTTCCTTCTCGTCAACCTCTTAGCCTTTTTTGTGCCTGAAAGGCGCCAGGGGCAGACATCCTTACGAGCCCAGAAGCCTCGAAGGCAGCCTCCAACAGCCGAGGAAAGGAAAGCACAAAGAAACTGCGAAAGAAAATGCGAATTCGCAATCTCGTGGGCCTCGGTGCCTTCCCGCGAGGCCCTGCAGCCCAGGCACGCTCGCTCTCCCTGTGTGCACGGATCCGGGGCGGCGGCAGTCGCAGCTCTTGGGCTGGGAAGGGCCAGGCTGAAGGCGGCGAGGTCGGCCCCGTGGAAAGCTGTACCTCGCCACGCGACAGGTAACGCCAGCGCCAGCATGTGCACACTGCGTTTGCGGATGCTTGCGGCTAAGGCACCACCACGCCACCTTGCAGAAGAGACTCTCGGACGAGGACCTGCGCTTTTTGCAAAGCTTTCTTTTTTGGGGAGGGCGGATGCCCACCCCCCCCGGGCCGTGCCCCGAGCCCGGCGTCCCCCAGTCACGCGGTCCCACCCGGGGAGGCCCGAGGCATCGTACATATTCCAGCCCCTGGATCAAACCCCTTACACAACAAGATGCTAGTAACTCACAACGAAGATCCTGGGCCAGGTTACGGGGATACTCCTTCTCAACCGGGGCGTGAGACTACTCATCCACTTGCACATCAGGGCTTCCACAGCAGTTGCATGAGCATGCCTACAGGAATCTAGGCTTACACCTTCCCCAAGCGTTTCCCCCGCCCTCATGTGTTGTCCTCCTGTCCGACCCACACCTCGCTCTCATGGCAATCTGTGGAGCTGCGCTTATGGAGGCGCTGCAGACTGCCCGTTCGTGTTGCTCTTCTACGCCAACATCCATTCCACGGCAAAAAGGTGCGCCCACATGTAGTACATCACTCATGGGGGTAAGTGCGAAACAACAGCTCAACGCTTGTACCAGGGCGCTCTCTCTGTCCTTCTTCTTAAAGTGATGTCTCTCTTGTTTTTCTCACTGCTCTACCCTCCCCCAACGGAGAGGGCTGGGGCAAGGCCCCAAGCAGGCGCACACTCCGCAGTCGATCACCGACTCAGATGATGTCTCTTCTTCTGCTTTGGGCTGTGCCCGCGGACAGATCAATCCCAGGAAGACCGGAGCAGATGATGTCTCTTCTTCTTCTTCTTCTATGGGCTATGCAGGACCCTAGAGCCCTGCTGGGGCGAACCCCAAGCCCTCGGAGCATGTCTCGGGTCGTCGTTCCCAGGAGGCTCGGAGCAAGGTCATTACGATTGGAACTGAGCACAGACATACCAACAGTCATTTAAATGCATACCTTTCCCATGTTCCATTCTCCAATGACGAGGCTCCCTACTCAACTGGGTTGTGACACTTCCCTGCGTTCCTGCTTCCCACTCGTGTGATGGGGCTGAATTTCAGGATTTCGCAGTTTATCTCCCTAGGTGTCTCCCCTCCTATTCTCGAGCTCACACAAAAGCAATTGCTCTTACTTTCAACTCAGAGACACTTTTCCCGAAGATTCTTGTTTTGTCCAGGGATCTTCTTGTGTATGTTCCCCAGCACGCTGCACTGTTGTCAGCATGTCGAGGCATGACACGATTTTCCACGACAGCAACAGCTGCATGACCTACTCCGTACCACCACAGTCAAGTACTTGCTTTTCCCTCGGACATGGAAATTGTGAGACCAACCTGTCGTGCCCGCTGGCGTGGATTGCATGTCTCCAACACAACATACCGTCCCGTTCTGCCTGCTCTCGCACCTATAGATTATCTACAGAATCTACAGCGTACATGCCAATCCGTATCCTTGTGGCATCGGAAATGGTGTGAGACTTGCATGGCGCTACCTTCCGGGTTGGAAAACGAGCACTCCGAACACTTTCCATGACATATGACAGCGTCACACTTGGAGTGTTATCCTGCCCGCATCTTGGGGATTTGTACTGTTTCCCTACCTGGCTCGCTGCTCCCGGGGTAACGGCAGAACACAGCTTATAAGGACTGTAGGTTCGGGCCTGCCTCCCCCGTTGGCAGCATTGCTTTCCACTCTTTTCCTTTCTTCTTTCGAGGGAAACTTTTTTGAGCCCATTGGCTGTCATGTGGGATTGCAGCGTCTTGCCAGTATGGTACATTACTTCCCGGTCATGAATTTGGGCTACATTTCAGCAACAGTCAAAAGCCTCTATGTGCAGTTCATACCAACACAAATTAGGTGTGGCTTAACCTCCCGTCAACTTGTTCCTGCCCCTTTGCACTCTCGCATTGCCGAACTTTCCTCTACTCTGAGTTGTGCTTGTTATTGATGTACTCCCTGATCGTTGTCGCTCCCTCCTTTGCGCCGCCGCTGCCGGTTCCCTTCCTTGCCTTCTTCGTCTTCTTTATCGTTGGCTTCTTGTGGATCTTCTTCTACTCGCCTGGTTTCTTCTTTGTCTTTTTCGGGTTTTCCCGGCTCCTCTTCCTGTCCCTTTTGCGCCTTCTCTTCTTGTCTTGCTGCTTGCTCTTCTCGTCGGTCTGCAGTCAGTTCGGGTTCTTCCTGCCATGCCTCGCAGACTCGCTTCCCATCTTCTCCCCATCTCCACCCTGGGCGCCCTGTGTCTCCGTGGAGGACATCTTCCATGTGGTTGTAG